GTCCAGGAAGCACGCTCCCATTTGTCCTTGAGCGTCTCAACGTGGCATCTGGGCCGGGCCTCGGGCGGCCGCAGCCTATCCGCGGCCCGGGCGTGCGGCCCGGCGGCTGAGGATGCCAGGAACCCTCGCGCGCCCGCCTGTGCCTCCGCGGCGCCCGCCCGTTCACCCCGCGCCTCCCTCCGGGGGTTCGGGGCCTCCCTCGGCCCGGATTGCTTTCTCCCTGACTCTAACCCTGTTGCTTTTGAGTGCATTTTCTTGATGTTTCGCCCCGACTTTCACATTTGCTCGGAGAGCTGGGAATTGCCGATCTGGGTTGCGGGCATCCGCGGGATTGTCTCCGAGGCAAATGCCTATTTCTTTCCCCCTTTCCGCGGAAGCGAGCCCCGGGAACCGCAGGGAATGATCTCTGTGGAACGTGCACCCGGAGCATCAGGCAGCCCGGGCGGGGATGACCACGTCCCAGCCTTCCGCTTCCTGCTGTACCGGTTCCTGCTGCGACCCTTGTTTGGAGTCTGGATTCGGGCTTGCGCCCTGCCTGCTCGTGACTGAGCTAATATTGAACATTCAGTGGTGTAATTAAGGCCATCTTGTACCATAAGCAGCCTGGTTTCCATTCCCTTTGTGTTTCTGTTTAAAAACACCCTGCACTGAACAATATGTCTTTGTTTAAAAAAAAAAAAAAAAAACTGTCTGTGTAATCATGTAGTCCAGTAGCTCAGCACCTTGGTTAGAAGAGTGACTTTCAAGTTGTATGTCTACTACTACCCACAATAAAAAGTATGTATTACAACATCTTCAAATCCCCGTATGCATGTAAGAGCCACAAAATGATACGTGTAACGCCCTTTAATATTTTCCATGCCTTTTTTTTCTTTGCCCCAAGGCTGCTTACAACAAATTGTGTTCAGCATCTGCTCTTAGGTGAAACTCGCATGATAGTACAGATAAAATTTTGCAGTTTTGTAAGAAACATTTTGCAAGAGGATGTATCTTTTGAAATGCCTTGGTGATGTTTTCCTTCCCAAATGAACACAGGTTAGGGAGGTGCATTAGTTTGCCTATAAGTAGTAAATATTCTAAATTCTGTTTTGTGACATCATTAGATGTGGAAAACATGATTTTTTAAAACTCTAGTTATAAAATAATAGAAAGACTGGCTTCCTATGGCAAGTGTTTGAAAATGTTATTTTCAAAACTATAGGGTGCTTTGAAAGTTAATTTCCTTCGTCTCTCCTGTTAGTTGTGTTTTCTTGGATGAAAGCTCTATTGGGCGGCTCTCTCGACTATAAATAAAAGTTCTTGTCACAGTGATTTGCTTTGAGCTGCAGAGGGTATGACATTGGATTTTAAAATAAGTCAAGCCCCTTATCGAATGTCTTTAGGTGAATCTTTGTCTTTTTTTGGATAACTGTAGGCTGAGTTTGGGATCCAGAGTTTGGGATTTATTTCTGGAGAAGGTTAGTAAAGAGAATAATCTTTACCAGTGTCCTGCATTTGTACTTTATGTTTAGCAACTAATCCCCACCCGTGTTCTATATGCATATTTTGTGCCTGGTGCTATGCCAGACAGCTTGGATACATTTTAAAATGTGACTAATGATACGTATTTGTCCCAAACTTCATTCCTCCGAGCCATAAAAATTTTGTTCCTACAGAAAACTTTTATGGAGAAAATAAAATATAAATCTAAATTCCTTGATTCAGAATCCTTTGTGTTTCTTGAGCAATCACTTAAAACATAAGAGTGATCACTCAGCCATATATATATATTTTTTTTTTTTCTTTTTTTTTTACCCCCGCCCTCGGAGACACCCATGCTGGCATGTGACTGCTACCCTGGAGGCTGAGGTAGGAAAAATACTTGAACCCACAAATTTGAGGCCAGTCTGGGCAACATAACATGACCCTGTCAAAAAAACAAACAAACAAAAAAAAAAAAAAAAAAACAAAAAAAAAACACCCAAAACAAAACAAAGCAAAACTTCTGTTCCTGCTTGCAAGCTTTACAAACCTGTTTGCAATTAAATGTGTCTGTATATGTGGAAAAGTTTATGTGAAGAAAATTTTTAAACACTTTAGAGCGTATTTGAAAGTTTGAAGATGCTCCTTGCTAATTGGGTTGCCATTTGTCTGATGTTCTAGACACCAAACCCTAGTTCTAACTGCGCTACTGTTAGGCAAATGATTCCACTGGTGTTTCGCTTGTCAGCAGGTTGGAGGGCTGAGAGACAAACCAGTTGAAACCAGCTGACTGTAGCTTCCTGTCCCTGTCCTCAGGAAAGAACAAATATTTGGACTGAAAAAAAATTCTAGGGAAAAATCATGTGGTCATCTCTTTTTAGTTTGGTGAAACCGGAGCCTTGGCATCCAGGCTTGTAAGCTGCTTATTTTAGTATGTGCTTCCCCGAGAAGAAGGAAGCTCACCTTTGCATATAGTTGCTGTGAGGAAGTTGAACTAAACCATCTTAAGGTCCATTTCAACTTTGACAGCCCGTCTTCCCCAGGTGGACATGCTTAGGGGTCCGATTGCTTATTGGGAGTGGGCTTCATGCAAGGAAAATTGGATTCATACCTTGCTTCTTTATTTATGTTTTTTATTTTTTTATTTTTTAATTTTTTTTTGGTTTTTCTCTGGTACCGGGAACCGAACTCACGACCTTGCGCTTGCGAGGCAGGTGCTTTTGCCGCTGAGCTAAATCCCCAGCCCCCATACCTTGCTTCTTTAAAAAGTGGAAAACTAAGGAAAATGAGTTTGTTTTGTTTTTTAGACCACATTGACCCAGTAAATACTTAGTTTTTATTGTATTTGTTGGTTGTGATAAAGGCATACAGCACAGTTTTCAACCCTGGCCGGAAAGGAGAGTGCTTGAGAGAACCTAGTTAAGCTTCCAAATTGAGTTTACAAAGTATATAAATTATCTGAGATGTTTTCTTGGAAACGAATAAAAGGAAACATATTTTCAATTCTTGCCTACAAGTTACCTACTGTGCCTACTATGCATGTGTGTATTTCTTTTTTTAAACTAAAAAGATTCATTGAGAAAAGAAAAAATAATTTCCCTCTAGGTAAAAGTGCTTCCCAAACACCTGATCATGTTGTAGATGGAGCTATTGTGAATATTCTTAAACATTCCATTTTTCTTATACCTGCCCAGCTGGGAAAGCACAACCTCTGGTAGGTTTTACAGCTTGCTTAATTCCACAACCCGTGCAATTTCTGTCCTCCTCCTTTGCTTTTCTTGTTTGCTTTTTCTTTTTACTGTATCTACCAAGGCATGCTTCCACCATTTAAGGAGTTATCAAAGATCTAAGCTCCTGGAGATACACATTTACGTGCACTTCATGAACCTGGGAGAAAGAGGTTTCTATTTTCAGGTAGAGCTGTGGTTAGAATATAGTACTTTTTGTCATTCCCACGATGTCCCTATCTTCCACAGGTCCCTAGCAATTGGAACCAAAGCTGGTTACAAGCTGTTTTCTTTGAGTTCTGTGGAGCAACTGGACCAAGTCCATGGGAATAGTAAGTGTGTGTGTGTGCGTGTGCGTGCGCGTGCACATGCTTGCATGTGCCCCCACCCACGTGCAAGAAATCTCAGAGACACCAACTCCTTTCTCTTGGCTTTAATCTTGAGCTTCCTGCTTTTTCTTCCTTCAGCCATCAAAATCAAGAAGTCGGTGTTTTTCAGACTTAAATATAAATTGATGTCTCCACTTGCTTAAAAACTACAGTGAAGCTCTTACTAAAATTTGGCAGTAATTTAGGGAACATTTCCTTGGTTATATAAAGAAATCCTTTGTCTGAAATCATACTGTTGATACTTGCCATATGTTTAGTACACAGTTGTCATTGTTGATGATTGTCAAACCGAAAGATCACTCAGGACTCCTTTTTACCATTGTATTGGCACTATAGGTTATTGATACAATTTATTTGGTCAGGAAAGTATTTTATTTGCTTTAATAAAGCAACACTATCCTATTTACATGGCCCATGTTGAAAATGTTGATATATTCCTAGCAAATGTTAAAAATAATTCATCTTAGAAATATGACTATTTTTCTCAGGGTAACACTTTCTGCCAACATAATAGTAAAAAATATGTCTATAATACCTTTGGGTTTCCTGGAAAGAAAGTGGCTTGGTAAAGAATATTTGGGGGGGGGTGTCTTACTTTATTTGTAAAATGCTATTTTTATTACACCATTTTTATGAATATTTCGCTCTGTGTCGCCCCATCCTGATCCCTTGGGACTTCCCATAGCACGGGCCAGGCAGGCACATGACTGGATGGTCTCAGGAAGACACAGAGGTCTTACCGGTATTGAAAATGGAAGTGCTTTCTTGCTCATAATACTGATGTCCAGACTGTCTTCAATAGAAAAAGAATTGCAGAGAGGCCCGGGGTGCACAGAAAGACACAGAGAGGAGCTCAGATTTAACAGTGTTACTAAACCCCCTCCCCAGACAGTATCCCTCTAGCAGGACAAAAATTAATTCTGAACACGGTGGCTGCCCACCCAGTAATCACATCCTTGAAATCTCTTTTAGGGCAAGGGTGGATTGAGGTTGCCATACCTTCTGAATGTATTTTACAGGAGGAACAGTGGAGCCCTCGGGCCTGGGGGGTGATTCCATCATGCATACAGCGTTCCAGGTGATTCTGGTCACCGGCATCTCCTGCACTGAGGGCTGCCCTGGGAGATGGTCAAGGCTCTCTGGTGGGAAGGGGTAGTAGGGGCGGCCATGGATGTCTGCTGATGGTCAGCACCAGTCAACAAGCTCCCCTGCAGTGACCCTCAAAGTGACCTAGGTGCTGCTCTCCCTCCAGACGAAATCCCCAATGTCTACATTGTGGAACGCCTCTTCTCCAGCAGCCTGGTGGTGGTGGTCAGTCACACAAAGCCACGGCAGATGAACGTGTATCACTTCAAGAAAGGCACAGAGATCTGCAACTACAGCTACTCCAGCAATATCTTATCCATCAAGCTGAACCGGCAGGTAAGGAGGCAAAAGCTCTCAAGGTTTCATGGCTTCTACTGAGTGGGGAAAAAAAAAAAGACCAGTATCTTTAATATAAGCATCAGCCAGGTGTGGTGACAAACAGCTGTAATCTCAGCACTCTAAAAGGCTGAGGCAGGAGGATCTCAAGTTAGAGCCCTGCCTGGACAACTTAGCAACTTAGCAAGACTCTTGTCTCAAAATTAAAAATAAATAAAGGGCTTGGGATGTGGCTCTGTCATTTAATTATTTAAGCAATCATCAAATGCTAAAGATGATTTTAACATGTTTAGGACATGGGTTGGTGTGAATTCCATGGGTTCAGTTCTCACTACTGAGATAAGTAACAAGCATCAAACGCTAATAATGATTTTTGATTTTAACTTGCGTGTGTGGTTCCTTAGGCATAGTATAGCCAGCATCCACTCCATTTTGTTTATTTTTTAGTGGTGAATTTTCCTTGATCCTTCGGCCTGCATTCTCTCTCCAGTGTCAGCCATGTACCTTCTGCCCCTGGATAGGGTGCTGACTGGGTACCAGTAGGAACAGGTTAGAACTCTGGCCTTGAGCCTCCGCAGGGTCACCTTACATGCTGCCAACAGCTTGAACCACCAGTGATACATGCATGGCTGTCCCACGCCAGCCATTGAAACAGTCATGCATGTACCACCAGTGGTTCAGCACTACCCATCAGGGAGACATACAAGTTACGGACCCACTGTGAATGTGAAACCAGAAGAACGAGTCTTCTGACCTTGGCCTAGACAGTGGCATTCATTGCAGCAGGTGGTTCTGCTCTGAAAACGAGACTGCTGAGGATGGATGTGTGGTCCTCTTGGGTTAGTTCTGAAGGCAGATGGAGAAATTGCCCTTCCGTCATCTGTAAGGATCCGCTGGTTCTTGCTGTACCCCAGGAAGGAACAACCACGAGAATGATGAAAAAATAGACAAGAGACAAAAAGCTGGGGTCAGGTAGAGGTCCTCTCCTGAGCAGAGAAGGGGAACTGCCCCAAAACAGTAGAGCATTTATTTTATACCCTCGAGAGGTTGATTAATTTCAGCCTCTCTGCCCAGCAGTCAGTTAACAAGCTACAATGGCTTGTTTACGCGCTTGGAGGAGCTCCCGTGTTCTTGGGCCGGCTTTGTCCCGCACATGTGATTACTTTCTAGCTTCAGCTGCGCCCCACAGTCATCTATATGGACTCTCCTGGCAGCTCAGCTATGAGGTCTTAGGCTTCCATTTTCCTTTTTTTCCAGCTCATCCCTAAAGATGTTTTCTGGAGCATTTTCTTTGTTGAAGAAAGGGTTACTCTTATCTCAGATATGCAGTATATGTAATCCATTAGCTTTGAAATTATAAACCCTTGTGAAATAAGCATTTGGGGTATCAGCAGATCTCCTCTGCAGTTACTGCATTTTACATCCTGTGAGATCAGAGGCATGGCAGTTTTGCTTAGTACTTTAAAACTTGGTGGAAAAATGGTCAGAAGTGCCTGTTAGCTGGCTATTATATAAGTACATCAAGAGACCTTTTTTGGGAGTATCCAGAGCTCTGTGTTCAATTAAGTATTCCCAGGAAGGTGGAGGTGGTTGCATTCACTGAGGCCTTTTTTTTTTTCTTTATACCTAAACTATTAAGTACTAATTTTTTTTTTTTTTTTTTTTTTTTGGTACCAGAAGTGAAACGCAGGACTTCACACTTGCCAGGCAGGTGCTGTGCAGCTGAGCTATATCCCCAGCACCCTTATTTATTTTTTTTTACAGTGAAACAAAATGCTTTCTTCAGTTTCAGAGCAGGAAGAGACTGCTGCTTTGAGTCAATCAGCTGTTTAGATTGAGTGTCCAGAAAGTCGGGTGGTAGAAAAATGGCCGGGAAAATGAAGCATGTGGACTTGTCAGTGAGAAGTAGCAGGCGTAAGAAAGAAAAAAAGTCTGCGTTCTTGTCAAGAACGGGGAAGGCAGTCTGAGAGTGTTCTAGATGAAAGCTTTTAAGCAGAATTCTCTGCTCCAGTCCTTTCTCTGAGATCTCTTAGTAGCATTGTAACTTTTGTTGGAGAACTTTTATTTTTGTACACAGTAGTGGCCAGTATATGGAAGTTAAATGTCTTTTCCTCATACCTAATTATCTTTTTAAGACTGTTGAGTCACATGTTAAGATAAGAACCTTGGAATAGTATCTGTTGTGTTTACTTGTGCACTTACTCTGCTCCTCTGTGGTATTTTCTTTAGCCAGTGGGACAAGGAAGGATTCTTTAAGTGTGTGAGTCTGTTAACCATGAGTGTCAGCCGCTGCCCAGCAGGACACTCACAAACCTGAGGGTCTCATGCCCCATCATAGGTGAAGACCATGCTCTCAGCACTGCTCAGCAGTTGATAACCAAGCTAATGGGAAGCCAGGTCTAACTGTTCTCTCTTGAGCAATACTTTGCCCAAGAAAGTTACTTGAGGCTGATCTGAAATGTGTTTGGGGTTTGCTTTTCTGAAAAGTTTCAGGTTTAGGTTTAGAGCTCCTCACTATGACAGTCCCCCGGTGGCAGCTGGGGGCCCACAGTCCTGCAGAGCCACGGGCCAGGAGCAGTGGCAGTGGGTAGCCTGCTGCGTCATCCTCGGGCACGCAGCTACTTTCTAAGACAGGAAAAAGATGACAGATTTGTATAAGGAATTGCAAGGAAACAGAAATCTCTGTTTTCTGCTGAATATACAGAAAGGAAAAGTCTTCAGGAAGAGTAATAAGTCTCACTTCTACTTGATGTTATACTTCTTGTATTTAACTGTGAAGTGTATCTTATGGGATAAAGACAATAAACCAGATGTAGTTAAGATATACGAAGCTTGACAGTTCTTTGACCTTTGCTTCTGGTTATCCAACTGCAGTTTGGTTGGATGGATGCCACTGAGGCTAAAGCTATGGTGCTCCGCAGCAGACGCCGTATATTTTTTAAAGTTGCTGCAAAGGAATACTACTCATAAACCCAAGAGAGTGGGTGAAAGTCAGAGTGACCAAGAATGGGCTGAGTTAAAGGCAAGGCCATGGTTCTGGTGCAGAGTGATTAGGAAAGCAGCTACCGCTGGGCATGAGGAAACTCACCTCTAATCTGTACTCTGGGAGGCTGAGGCAGGAGGATGGAAAGTTTGAGTCTTGCTTGAGCAGCATAGCAAGACCTTGTCTCAAAAAACAAACAAAAAGAAAGAGCTGGGAATGTAGTTCAGTGTGAAGTACCACAGATAGGTAGTTAGATGATAGATAGGAGATGATAGAAGATAGGTAGGTGGGTAGATAGATAGATATGCGGATGGACAGACAGACAGCAGAAGGCAGTTACCAGGCTTTGCTCATTCTCGAAGCACGCTTTAACCTGAAACAAGATAAGAAGCCTCCTTGTTCCTTCCCAGGGCTTCCTTTCATTTTCTCTCCCTTTTAATTCTTCTCGGCAGCCAATGTGGGGTTGGCTAGAAATTCAGCTGAGTGGGACACAGAGCAGATGGCACTAGTAGAGTGGATGGGAAGCAGTGTTGATCAGATCAGCCAAGCTTGGAAGTTCGTGTGGGGCCCTGCTGTTGTGGGGATCGGGTGCAGGGCTGGGAGGGGACGCAGGAGGATGCAGACGCCTCAGAGCAGAAACAAGCAGGAAAGAAAGTTGTCCAGACTGTGATTTATGCTGCTAAAAGTGTGGCAATCAGGTAAATGAGACAATAGGTACTTCACAGAGAAACAAATATTTGTCATCAACCTTGAGATTCTGTTAGAACTTTGTTTTAACTTCTGAGCACCCAGTCTCAGACCTGTAGCATAGAGACTTAATTAAAATATAAAGAAGCATCTAACCTTTATTTTTCTACCTAGTTAAAGTTGTTAGTCTCCATTTTTCTCATCTACCAGGAGTCTTAGTAGAAATGAACTTCCCCTGGAGGAGAGCCTGCCACCTTTTTGGTAATATTTTCAGATACCTTCCCTTGTAACTGGTGTTCCTGGGCTTCAGGGGATCTGGCCCGAGAGCACTGGATCCCCAGTCCTGTGTTGATCATAAAGATGCTTGGTTAAAGATGTCCCCAGCTGGGCTCCCTGGATGTCCTTGGTTAAAGATGTCCCCAGCTGGGCTCCCTGGAGTTCAGGGCTTGGCTCCTGGGTGGGTCTGGTGCTCATCCAAGTGTGAGAAGCTCTAGCCTGGAGGAGCCTAGTCAGGCTTGTGCAGGGCTGTAGGCAGCTGCTCGGGATGTGGGGAGTGGGGTCTGACCGCCACTGTTCCCAGCACCTCCTCACCAGTGCCTGCCCCGGGCTTGGGCTGGGCTCCGCCTCCCGCCCCTGATAACACGGAGCAGCACCTTGGCAAGAGGTTCTCACCTGGCAGGCTCTCCGAGAAAGCGGAAGAGAGGGATCCGAAGGCACTGGGTGGGAGAGCGCCTGAGGGAGGAGCCGGGTGGGGACAGGGCCCTTTGACTTCCACAGCATCAACACGAGGGATTCCCCAGCTCCCTTTACAGGGCGGTAGGGAGTGGCACGGCACTGGATCTGGAGGAGAATTTGAATGAAGGTAAAGCTGGTCACTGAAGTCAAATTATCCCCTATGTAAAGATGCTTGGGACCAGAAAGGCCCCAGATTTTAGAGTTGTTCAGATTTGGGAATATGTGTATAGACTTTGCTGGTTGAGCATTCCTAATCCAAAAATCCAGAATCTGAACATTTTTAAGTGCTGATGCTCAAATTTAGCCAGATCATCTTGAAAGTTTGGATCAGGGAGGTTCAGCCTGTACTTGGAGAGGGGTAAAACCTGAGGTTCAGTGATACAGAGACTGCAAAGGAATCCACACTGGTCTGAGGGAGACCTTTGTCACCAGCATCGAAAGGCAGCTTGTCAAGTAGAAATAAGAACCAGGGGGGTGGCTCCAAATGATCTTCAGTGAAAAAGAGAATATGATCAAGTGTTCAGGAATCCCTTTTCTAGGAAAGGGAAGTACCAGAGAGAAAGACAATATGGGGGTGGGGGACAGAAGTAGAAGAAGGAGGAGGAGGAAGAGGAGGAGAGAGGGGAGAGAGATTGGTCGGCAGGTCTCATTTCTACATAAAATATCTTAAGATGTGTTTCAAGCTTCTGTTCAAGTGGATAGTGATGTGTGTATTCATGTCCATAATAAACGTGGCCTTCAAAAGACATCGTCAAAATCCTTTCTCCTTTAGGCCTAAGATCAAGTTTGGACTGAATGGAAGATGAGCAGTTTGGATTTGGGTAGGTCCCTTGTCACAGAGTCTGTGCAGGAGATTTATGATCTTTGTGATTACAGAGGTTGCTGGTGTGCCTGGAAGAGTCCATTTATATCCACAACATTAAGGATATGAAGCTGCTGAAGACCCTTCTGGATATTCCTGCAAATCCAACAGGTGAGCTTCAGCAACAGAATCAACAACCCAAATTTCACGTCCAAGCAGCTCTTTCCTATGTTGTATTTCTAACTGGACTGAAAACCTGAAGGGGTGTGTATGCTTTGTTGTCTTAATAGTGTTTTCCATGAAGTTTTCCTGCTGGCAGATTCAAATTGTAACAGGCTGTGGGTTCTCCGGGGGAGCTGTGTGGTCTTCGTCACAGCCTCGGAGAAGCCTGTGTGAGCAAATGGGCTGAGGCACGTAAGGTATCTGCGTAGGAGAGTTCATGTGTCTGAAGTTGAAAGGTGTTTACCCTGACCCTTTTTTGTGGTTGTTTAGTATGAAGTAGATGCAATAATTATAAGCAAGTTTTGACTTGGTGTATCTTCATGGCTAGGCAAAGGATAATCTGAACCATAAAGAATGTGTTTCATTACATTGCAAAGAAATTTCTCTACTTGAGTGATGTGCTAGGGTACTAGACTAAGTTCTTCTCAAGATTTAGCACTATTTAATACTTGTCTGGTTTGTAAGAATGGGAATAGTTTGAATTAGATTGAAATAACATGATAACATTTTACGAAATTCACCGAGCTAAAAGTGACTGAGAAGGAATCCTTTCCTGGAAGGGGGCAGGGACAGTCATCACAGGAGAGCAATGTGTGTATCTAATGATTCCGTTCACGTTTATAAACTGTATTCCAAGTTAGTGTCATTAAAGGGCTGCTTCTATTTACCGTAGCTTCTTAGCTCTTTGACTTGCATGAGATTTCAAGATTTCTATGGATAACCTGGACTTTTTGAGCCTTATTGTCTCCTTATTGGTAACATGGAGCAGTGACAGGCGTCCCCAGCATCAGCTGAGCATAAACGAGCTGACATTTGTGCAGGTGACCAAGATAGGACTTGATGTGCAATAACTATTTCCTGTGCTTTATTTCCTTCCTCATCTCACTTCCATAGACAGCCTTTTGATCTCACCTCTCTCTCTGTCTCTGTGTGCCTGCATATATGCATGCATGTGTGTATGTGTGTTGCTGGGATCAAACCCAGAGCATCACACATGCTAAGTACATGCTGTAACACGGAGCTGTGCTCCCACCTCAGATTTCAGGGCTTTAGAGTCTCAGTCATCAAGACCATTAAAAAGTTCTGTGAGATAATGACTCCTAGGCGTCGTTCACAAAAGAGAAGATACCAAGTGTTTTGGCTGTGTCTAGATGTCCCCCCAGAGCCTCATGCAGGCGCAGGTGGGGGTTTCTCAGAGGTTGCTGAATCCAGAGTGTGTGACACTGGGATGGATTCATGGTGTGATGCTAGGATTGAGGGCACTAGGATTAAGGGTGTGAGTGCTACCTGCCCTAAGTAACCTGGATAAGATACAACACATAGAGCTGTGGCCATCCCTTGTTGCTTTGCTACCTTCTGCCCACCATGAACTGTTTCTCCTCTGCCATGCCACTCTGCCTTGGAGCCAGCTGACTGTGGACTGAAACCTCTGCAAACTGAACTAAATAAACCTTTCCTCCTTTAACTTTGGGTGTCAGGTATTTTGTCTCAGCAACAAGAGAAAAGTAACTAAGACAGCAGGGAAAGGAATTGTGATCATAGTCTTTGTTTTAGAAACGCAGGGTTGAAGCAACTTGGAAACTAGTTACTGCAGATGTGCTGTGTGCTGGCACCGTAGACACATTCATATAGATAGCGTAGGTGCTCTCTGGGAGCCCAGCCAGCCGGCACTGGTTCCCTTCAGGACCGTTCTGCAGACTGTACAGCCTGCTGTAGGGTGGAACCACTCTGACCGTGGAGTGCAGGCAATGGGAGAAAGATGTGTTCTTCTGATGGGCATGAGAGGCCCTGAATCAGAATGTGGGTGGAGCGCTGGGGCAGGGTGGGGCTGAGTTGGGTGCTGACTCCTTTGTGAAGGGTCCCACCCAGCTTGCTGCAAGTGCGAAGCTGCTCTGGTTCCCAGTTTCTTTGAAAAAGTGTGCAGTTAAGCACAGTCAGTCACCTTCCCCGCTCATGCCTTCCCCCCTCATGCCGTGTACTGAGCTGTTCAGACTGGAGCACAAGCCTTCTTCAGCAGTGAGACATGCTTTCTCCATGAAGACAGAAGTTTGTCTCCATGGACCCTTGTTTTTTATCAAATACACAGGCAGGTGTCATTTAATGACAGGGATGCATTCTGATAAGTTAAGTGATCTCATCATTGTACAAACATCATAGAATGTGCGTACAGGAATGTACATAGTGCAGCAACCTACTGCGTGCCCAAGCTGTGCTGTGTGTCCCTAGTGTGCGTGGTGTGTCATTGCACTAGTGTTGTTATGTGGTGCGTGACTGTAGTTATTTCTCTTCAACTGTTGGCTGCCTTGCTTTTTATAGGGACACAAAAACCGAGAGAAAAGGTTTAAAATGTGGGATTATTTGTGTTTCCTATTAGAAAGGATGTGTATTGTTTATAAAGGAAATAACTTTTATCTCAAGAAAAATTATTGGGAAGTTTTTCTTGGTCTCAGATAAAGGGACCCAGGGATATATTAAGCATTTCCTTTGCAAAGACTCTAGTCAGGTTGGCCAAAATGTGACCTTTTAGACCTCTTATATTATTTGAAGCAATAACTCAAGACCTTTGCAAATCCCAAACGTATGTATGTATGTATGTATTTAGTCTGTGTTTGTGATACAGAATGACAATGTTCATTTTAGGGAATTGGTACATGTATGTAACATATTTTATTCACTTACTATTTATATATTCAGTTTCTCATATAAGAGAAGGCATGCAATATTTAAGTTTCTCAGGCTGGCTTATTTTGCTTAGCATGATGGTCTCAAGTTTTATCCATTCTCTTGCAAGTGACATGATTTCACTCTTCAATATTCCATCATGTATATGTACATTTTCTATCTCTGTTCATCTCCTGGTGGCGTGTAAGTTGTTTCCATAAATTAGCTATTGTGAGTTGCAGTGGGATAAACACTGTATGCATCTGTCACTATAGTACAGTGCTTTTCAGTTCTTTGGAGAATATACCCAGGAGAGGTGTTGCTGGCTCAGACAGACTTTCTATGTTTAGCTTTTTGAAGAATCTCCATACTGATTTCCGCAGTGGTTGTGCTAGTTTAAATTCCGACCAAACATGTAGAAGGGTTCGGTTTTCCCCATATCCTCACCAGCGTTTGTTGTTCTTTCTGTTCTTGGTGATAACCATTCTAGCTGGGGTAAGATGGAGCCTGAGACTAGTTTCAATTTGCATTTCCCTAATGGCTAGAGATGATGCAGATTTTAAATGTGGGTCACTTGTACTTTTTTTCTGAGAAGTGTCTACTCATTTCATTTGTCCGTTTTTGATTGGGTCATTTGTTTTAGGAGGTAAATTTTTTTTGCATTCTTTATACAGTATATTTAAGGTATTACTCCTGTATCAGAAAAGTAGTTAGTAAAAAATTTTCTTCCATTCCATAGGTTGCCTTCTACTGGTTTTGATTGTTTCATTTTCTGTGCAGGTTTTTAATTTGATGTAATCCCATTTGTTGTTGATGATGATTTATCTTTTTGAGACAGGGTCTCGCTATGCGGTTCAGGCTGGCCTTGAACTCACTTTGTAGCTCAGGCTGGCCTCAAATTCACAGCGATCCTCCTGCCTCAGCCTCCCGAGTGCTGGGATTACAGGATATTTTTCTGAGCTATTAGAGTTCCATTCAGGAAGCCTGTGGCTTCAAGTGTTTCCCTATGCCATTGTCCAGGAGTTTCAAAGTTTCTGTTCTTGTATCTAGGTCTTTGATCCATCCTGACTTGTTTTAGTACAGGATAAGAGATAGGGATCATGTCATTCCTTTGCAAGTGAATATCCACTTTTCTCAGCACCAGTTGTTACGCAGCCTGCCTTTTCTCCAGTGGATACTTTTGGCCCCTTTATCGAGAAGCAGATGGCTGTAGGTGTGCAGGGTTGCTCCTCTGCCTCCTGTGCTACTCTGCTGCTCTACATCTGTTCTGTGTGCCAGTACCATGTTATTTTTTACTGCAGTTTCTAATATAACGTGAAATCTGGAATTGTGATACCTCCAGCTTTGCTGTTTTTGCTCAAGATTGCTTTGGCTACTCTGGGTCTTTTCTGATTCCGTGTGAATTTTAGGAGCAAGTCCCAAATTTAAAATGGCCCCCTAAGCTTCTCCTGAACTTGCTTTTTTACTTTAGGGTAGTAAAATGATCATGATTAGCCCACAGCGCTGCGTGAGAGGGTCGACTGAGGTCACATGCGTGTGAGTCAAGGGGAGGCTGCCCTGTCCTCGGTGTAGTCAGCTGGGGTCACTCACCAGCGCCCCGCATCCCACCGGGCAGCCCCGCCCAAGTCCACGCCGCACAGCACGAGCACGTCCTCGCTCGGGAACCTTCAGGACACTAAGCTGTCAGAAACACGGGTACAAAGTCCGCACAAGCCAGGAGTCTCCTTGTGTGTTCTCACTGCCCAGCCTGTGTTCGGAACAGAACGGTGAAATGGGAAGTGTGGGTTTGGGCCTCCTACGCTCGTACTGGGTACACAGGGAAGCAGAGTCACTTGTTCACTTGGCTTCGGCACACACATTCCAGTGTATTTCACCCTACCGAGTGCGGATGAGTTAGATACAGGGCTCCCTGTTGCTTTACGCTCAGTGTCTAAGGGGGCTGTAAATTTCCGTCCTTCCATGTGAATTTGAGCCATGCCCATTCCTGTTGTACCGAAGATTGCAGGCTGCCTCCTTTAAAGCCTTTGGCCAGGCAGGGCTCGAAGTTAATTTCCTGCTAGCACAGCAGTCTATGCCCTGAGCAGCCAGGCCTGGAAATCTCCGTGGAAAGTCTCGCCAAGTGCAGCGCTTGGGATGGGGTGTGGATTGGGGTCACAAACCTGACCATTTCGTATGGAAAACGAGAGAGCATACCGTGTTACACAGCAGTGCAATCATGGGACGGAGTGGTGGTTCATACACCAGCAAGTCCGCCTCCTGCGGAGGGTAACACAGCTGGTAAAAACGCTCTCTTCTGTAGTTGTATAGGGCTGTGCACGGCACAGAAGCTGTGTCTCCTTTCAGTTTTTGGAACCTGGAAAGGTGTGTGTGTGTGTGTGTGTGTGTGTGTGTGTGTGTGTGTGTGTGTGAGAGAGAGAGACTGAGGATGGAGCCAGGGCATCATCCATGTCAAGCGCACACTGTACCGCTGAGCTATATCCCCAGCCCTGAAAAGTAGCTTTAGGGCATTAGTAAATTAGGAAACTACAGTTTTAAAAATCAGTTCCCACTGAATTGCCTAAAGTTTGACATGTAGTATTTTGAGTATCAAAATGAGAGTTATGGGACTTCCTTCTCATTCCAGCTGGGGATGCCATTAGTTCTTGGATTGATAGCAAGCCCTGCTATGCCAGCTGTGGAAAAAGTACAGCCAATTTCAGTGAAATGACAGCTGATCGTGATTTACCAAAATATGTGTCAAGTCTACAACAAGTCCAAAACCTCATTTCTGTGTAGAAAAAAGACTCAAAGAAAATAAGCCCAAATGCTGAGAGGAGCAAAAAAACCTGAGTTTTAGAATCATGGGCAGTTTTTTTTTCTCTGTGTTTTCTGGGCTTTGCAAATTTGCTGTACCATCACTTTTACATTTTAAAGTAATACCAAGAAATAGCCCATTTTCTTGCCTAAAAAGGCCTCCTGTGACAGCTGGGGCAGAATCAGAGGACCGTGGAGCGGTGGCAGGGAGGCCCGGAGCAAGTCTTCCTGCTCACGTCCCAGCACAGGTTCACATAGCCGGTTGGGATATCTGAGACTTGACCATCGGAAATGGAAGCAACTCACCTTAAGCATTTCTGGGGACCTTCGTTAAGTCTGCAAGGATCTGTGAACAGGATTTCTCTGTTAAATTCAGGTGGACTGGCAGAGGCACAAGCCCCCAGGCACCACCATCAGAGAGACGGTATGTGTCACAGTGTGCCTGCCCTAGCCGTCATCCTCTGTCCTTCTCTTGTTAGAATCCAGGGCCATGTAGCTCTATGTTAGGTATTCAGTTAGCTAAAAATGTTCAAGCCTTTCTTCCTTTCTGGGGTATTTATATCTTTGGGTTTTTTTTTTTTGGTCTTTTTTGAGACAGTCTCGCTATGCAGTTCAGGCTAGTCTTGAACTCACTTTGTAGCCCAGGCTGGCCTCAAACTAGCAACGATCCTCCTGCCTCAGCCTCCCAAGTGCTGGGGTTACAGGCGTGCACCACTGCACCTGCCTTATATCTTAACCCAGAACTCTGGGGGGCAGGTGGAAGCGTTCTTCCAAGGCTCCTGCTCAGCTCCCTCCTCGCTGTCTCTGCCACAAGGACATGCTGCATACTTTCCGAGGAAGGATGTGAGTAAGGGAAGCCTTGCTCCCTGGGATGTTAAAGCAGGAAAGACATTCGTCACTGGAGTCCCTTCACAGGAGTCAGGCCCGAAATGGCCACAGTCACCTCAACCAGACATACACGTGCAGCAGATGGGTGTGTGGAACCATGTCCTCAGCCTGACTCCGCTGGATAAATATTCTTAAAACACAATCTCTTTAAAAAAACTGGACAGGGTATTGAGGTACAATTAACATGCCATAGAATTCACGCATCTAAAATACATAATTGAATAACTTTTCATATATTCACAGAATTATGTAACCATTGTCACAGTTAATTTTAGAACATTTTCACCACTCCCCAAAAGAAACCCGGTACCTCCTAGTTATCACCCTGCATTCTCCTATCCCTAGGCAACTTTTTGTCTACTTTCTGTCTCAGTAGATTTACCTCCTCTGGACATTTCGTGTCAGTGGATACCTATAATATAGACTTCTGTGTCTAGCTTTTGTCACCACATTCTCAAGGCTCATTTATATTGTAGCGTGTATCAGTCCTTCACTCCTTTTTACTGCCCCGTGATATTATAAAGATACACCACACTGTATTCACTCATCAGCAGATATTTTGAGTTGTCCCACTTTTTTACCATAATAAGTAATGTTACCACGCACATTCACATACAAGTCTTTTGTGTGGACAGAAGTTTGGATTTCTCGCGGGTACATATGCAGTAGTGGAATTTCTGGGTCTTATGATCGTCCCGTGTTTGACTTTCGAGAAACTGCCAGGCAGCGTCCCAAAGCCCCGCCCCACGTTGCATTCCCAGCAGTGCTGCACGGGCTTCTGTTGCCTCCGTCTCCTTAACAGCGAGCTGTGCTGTCTGTCTTTTTTATGGTAGTCGTCTTAGTACAAAGTGGGAGCTCACGGTGGTTTGACGCCGCCTTTTTCCAGTGTGTGTGTTTAGAAGCCCTCAGCAGTTGTCATTCGTGCATTTGTAAGATCGTAACTCTTCAGCACAGGGCTCGGGGCCATCGCCACGTCTGTCTTACCCTCCCTGCCCACTGCTTGTCCAGGAACCTAGCAGCCCAGCGCAGGCCGTCTCCTGGCTTCCTTCCTTCCTGGGTGTTACAGGCCCCAAGCATCTTCCCCCTGCCTCGCTGCTCTTGAAGTGACTGGATTGGATTGCAGAGAACTGGGATGGGATGGGGAGTTGGGGTTCCCAAAGCAGTGGGAAGGTGTGAGCGACCTCTTCCGGCAAGGGCCAGGAGTGACCTTGGGGGTTGTGGCGATTCCAGCGCATACAGTTACGGGTGCCGGGGCTCAGCGGCTTTCCTCCTGGTGTTAAGCTTGGCGAGCGACGTGCCGGCTGCACACCCGCGGTGCCAGAGTAGGAAACAGGCCCTAGGCCCCAAAAACCGTTTGATTTTTTTTCTCCTCTCTTTGCCCTGCAGATCTGGTAAGGAGCCTTTCAAGCCTGATCCAGAGTTCTCCTTATACTTTAATTAGGAAACCCATTTGATACACTAACTTGTAACAAAAGTGCTGGTCACCTTTTTTTCAATTTAAAAAGATGTTCCTTTTACATAACCTTCTGAGTTCCTGTTTTGGTAATGCTTCAGTTCTGTGCAATTCCTGGAATTCACTGCTATCACGTACAACTGTGTTCCTCTGTGAAAAAGCCTGTACTTAAAAGTTGTTCAGACCAACGCGTGCCCCTGAATCCCTTTGTAAATAGAAGTGGCTTATGTCACGTCCATGCAGTGGTTCGATTGGCCCTTTGTAGCTGCAAGGATTGGTGAAGCTCATGTGCGCGTGCGCCCGTGTGCACTGGGGGTGGAGCCCGCGGCGTCACACGCGCTAGACAAGCGCTCTATTATTGCGCTTCAGCCCCTGGGCTTGTTGAAGCGTCTTCCATCCAAAGCGTTCTGGGCATTTACTTTTTTCCAAAGGCAAGGCACTCCATCTTGGCTCAGAGGCAGGACCTCCAATGGCTTCACACGTGCTGACCCTTCATGATTGGAAGTTTCAGTTCAGTTGTGAGTAGATTCTCTCGTAGCCCTAGACCGGTGATGGCAAACCCTTCAGAGCTTTCGGTGATAACCAGCTGTGGCCCGCGTGCCATAGGTTCGCCACCACTGTGCCAGAGGGAGTGGAATTGGGAGAGAAGTAGATGTAATCTCAGAACCCAGGAGTAAAAATGTGAAGAAGAGCATGTTTAACGTTCTAAATTCTGATTGCTTGGATGTGGAGGGGTCATGGTGGGTGTCAAATTCTTCTGTGACTTTACTGGAATCTTTTGATTAGAGTCATCCACAGAAATGTGCCAAAGCCATTCCTCCCCTCACCAGTAGGTGGCACTCTAGTCGCGCTGTTTGCGGGTGCTCTTTCACCCTTCCAGTTTTCTGTCCCTTGGACCCTGGCTTTTCATCTCCTGTTGATTCCTCTCCAGGTCTGTGTGCCCTCTCTATCAACCATTCCAATTCTTACCTGGCCTATCCTGGAAGCCTGACTACAGGCGAGATTGTGCTTTATGATGGAAGCTCCCTGGTAAGTTGACAGTGGCCCTGCCACCTGGCTTGGCTCTGTGGCGAAGGGAGGACGTAAGGCGGTGCTGTGGCGGTGGTGAGAGGTGTGGAGGAAGAGGTGCTGGGCGTGCTTCTGGCAGGGGTGGTTGGGTGTAGAGGAGGAGGTAGGGTCGTTTGCCCTGGCTTTGCCGTCAGCCTGCACTACGCTGAGCGGTGTGACAGGCCAAGGCAAGACACCCACAGCAGGATGGAAATTACCTGCCAGCCGGTGGCAGATGGTCACACTGGTGGCCTGAGACAGCCCTCTGGTGTCTGAAGCTTCACAGAGTGGGACAGTCCCAATCTGTGGTGGGAAGTCCCCCCTCTTTTTTTTTTTTTGTCTTCTTGAGACAGGGTCTCACTGTGCAGTTCAGGAGGGCCTTGAGCTCATTTTGTAGCCCAGGCTGGTCTCGAACTCACAACAATCCTCCTGCCTCAGCCTCCTGAGTGCTGGGATTACAGGCGTGTGCCACCACACCCGGTTAGAGAAGTTGCCTTAAGGGGAAGCCCACTATGACTTTAGTCTATATCAGACACCCAGTTCGATGTCCACCTTCCCGAGGTCAGGAGAGGGGATAGAAATGGAGTAGCTCTTGAATTACGACCCCACTGAAAGGACACGTAGAGTCTATGCAAATGGTCTTGTGGGACAGACAGGAAACTCAGTAAGTGAGGGAGATAGAAGGGAAAGAAAGAGGAAGGAAGAAGGTGAAATCCATCGTCTTCCAGGGCACTAGTGTCTGCTTCTGTTTTTCACCCACAGAAAACAGTCTGCACCATTGCTGCCCACGAGGGCACGCTGGCTGCCATCACCTTCAACTCCTCAGGCTCCAAACTAGCAAGCGCATCAGAGAAAGTGAGTGCCCCCCATCTCCTCCTGCCTGGTTCACTGGCCGGCTGCCGCCACAGGTGCCCAGAGACCCGATGGACCGTGGCTGGTGGCCTGGAGACTGACGGGTCCCTCAGCTTGCTTGGAATGCACTTCAGAGTGAGAACTTCTGGCCTTTGCACGTTGTTGTCTGCTGATGACTTGTTAATTCAGTAGCCCAAAGGCCTGTCCTAGGCAAGATGCAAACACTTTGCATAGGCACTGTGGTCTTCTTGAGAAATGTGCGTGCATAGCGCCCCTGGAACAGAGAGATGCTACATTTCAGAATGTGGCTTTGCTAGTTACCCGGAGAGAGCACTTGCTTCTGTGTGGAATAACCGGGGAAGGTGATCAGGTTGGATTTCAAACGCCATGCAAAGCAGGTCTTTTTTGCTAGGCGGGGGAGACTGCTATAGGAAGCCATCGTGGTGTGGTAGACATATGTGCCCACATGCATACGTACGCACATACGTGTGCACACAGGGAACAGAGAGAGGCAGGGTGTGTCTAAAACATGTTTCAGTAACTGCTCATTCAGCACACACATAATTAAAAATGCGTCTGTGCCAGCGCTTTGTGCGTCCTTCTCAGAGACAGATGCTTAACACCAATGAAACAAACCACTGCTGGAAGGGGCATCTCTGCAAAGTCGCTAATGGTTAGAAACTGTCTGCCTGCTTTCTTTTCCAGGGCACAGTCATCCGGGTGTTCTCGGTACCTGATGGGCAAAAGCTCTATGAGTTCCGCAGAGGAATGAAGAGGTCAGTGCTCAGCGTCAAACCCATTTCCCAGTCCCCACACCAGGGCTTTGGTGGCCGGTGGGCAGCCATCTAGGGAGAGGACAGAGGCTGTGGCCTCCTCTCAGCTAGAGGAAGTGTTACTCCTTTCTCAGATAACTGAGTTTGAGGCTGGGGATTTAGCTCAGCGGCACAGCACCTGCCTGGCAAGCACGAGGTCGTGAGTTCGATTCCCGGTACTGGGGGGAAGAAAAAAAAAAGAAAAGTCAGATAACTGAGTTCAGGGCTCCATGGAGGGCTTAGTAAAACTTCACGGCACAAGCCTTCAGCCACGAGAGTCTGTTTTGCGGGGGTACACAGCCAGCAGAGGAGAAATAAGAAAACCAGGGAGTCACAACCCAAAAAATAATTTCTAATTCTCTTCCATGGAAATAAAAAGTGAAGTAAGGTCTGACCGTTTGGGGTCTTACCAGCTGTAGAGTTTCACACTTGGATCAATGCACAGGGCACCTGGAAGACTTCCACGGTGTCAGGAAGGCCCACATCTTCCCCTCTCCTGGCTGGGAGGACTGCCACACTTCATTGTTTGCGCCTAAGACCGTGACCCCTTGTGCATCTTTCTGGTGTTGCTCTCTAAATCTGAATAACTCGGCGCTGAAGGGGTTTTGGAATACCTAGGTTCTTCAGCACACATTTACTTTTCTCACAAAACTGATCTGGAACGAAAAGGCAACAGCGCTCATTTTTCTGGCTTACTGGTTCGTCTTCGCTCTTCCTAGGTACGTGACAATCAGCTCTCTGGTTTTCAGTATGGACTCGCAGTTCCTGTGTGCCTCCAGCAACACGGAGACCGTGCACATCTTCAAACTGGAACACCTCACCCACAGGTACACGGAGCTCTGGGTCAGCATAAGAGCTTTATTTGCTTTTGAGTTCCATAAACTTGGCTTTGTCTTCACCACCGTGGTAGAGCACACGTCTTAGTTACTTTTCTTATTGCTGAGACAAAATACCCGACACCCAAAGTTAAAGGAGGAAAGGTTTATGTAGCTCACAGTTTGTAGAGGGTTCAGCCCCTAGTCAGCCAGCTCCAAGGCAGGGTGGATGGCAGACAGGCATCACAGAGGAGAAACAGTTCATGGTGGACAGAAAGTAGCAAAACAAAGCAAGGGGTGACCACAACTCTTTTTATGCCTTATATTTTATCCTGGCTACTTAGGGCAGATAGCACTCACACCATAAATCCTAGTGGCCTTGATCCCAGCATTGTACTATGAATTAATCTCAGAGTCATACACTCTAGATCCAGCCACCTCTGATAACCCCCCCACCTATGACTTCATGAAGGTTTGGGGGGACATCCAGACACAAACCATAAGATTCTACCCCGAACTCATACACTGCAAAGACTCATACACGTCCCTTTTAAGAGGCATTTAGTCCATCTCTAAGAGTTGCCAAAGTCCTAACGTTCCAGCGTTGCTGAAAAGTCCAAGTCCAAAGTCTCCTTTGAGATTTAAGGCAAACTCTTAGCTGCAATTCCCTGTGCAAATAAACAGAAAGGTAAATACTTCCAACATTCAATGGCATAAGATGGACATTTTCATTCCAAAAGTTACAAACAGATAGCAAGCAGTGGGGTTAGAGCAAAACCAAAATCCAGCAGGGCAAACATTAAATCCCACAGTTCCACTTCTAGCATCCTTGGCTGTTTGTGGCAAGTTGTGAACTCCAAAGTTGGGTTCCACCCTTGCAGCACTGCTGGTTGTTGTAGCTCCCATGGCTTTTCTCTTGGGGCAGTTGTGCTCCTTCCTTGCAGTTTTTCTCAGACAATCCATGTTACTGACTTCTCCAAACTTCTGGAATCTCTGCCAACACTTTGGCTTCACACTCACAGCTTCACACACTTCCCTCTTAGGGGTGCACTGCCCTGTCAGGCCTTCTTCTGAAATCTGAGTAGAAGCCTTCCTGACCCCACAACTCTTCCATTCTGCATGCATCTCAAACCAGCACCACGTGGATGATTCCAGTGTCTGCTGACAGGTGGAACAGTAGCCAGGCTTCCTTCTCTCTTGGCTATTGGGGTTTAATGCCTGTGAACCAAATCCAAAGGAACAACTTCCCTAGGCCACCGCAATTCTGGAACATGGTGCTCTGGGGCTCTCTTCTCAAAGCAAAGCTTTGCAATTTTGAGGCTGCAAAGGGTGGAATTCTGTTACTTCTTGTGATGCCCTCAGGCCATCTTTTTTAATTTTGCTGTTCCTTCTCAGCAATAAAGATTTCTGCCCTCTTTGCAGTCCACAGCTTTATTGCAGCTTCCTTTGTGGTCAAACTCAAAATGTTTTACATCATTCTCCTGGGTTCTTTGCTCTTAATTCTCAACATAAATCTGGCTAAAAGCCCCCAACAGTAGCCATGCCACCACCTCAACATTAGACTGCCTTAAAGTTTGTTCTGTAAGATTAATGAGTCCAACACCCTTAATCTCAGTCTCAGTAAAGACTTTGGACATTAGCAAAATGCAAACAAACTTTCTCCCAAACCATAACACACATCATCTGGAGTCCAGTAGCCAATGCAGTGCTTCTCAGCAGAACCCTCCCAACCCTGGTCTTTACTGGCAGGATTTCTATCAGCCTTCTGGTCTTCTGAGCTCTGACCAGAATCTCCCATCAAGTACAGCCTAAGGCATTTCACTTCTGCTTTTTTGGCCAGCCTCTCCAAACCTTTCCTAACTCTTACCCCTTCCTATAAGCCAGCTCCTTGAATCACATGGTCACAGCAACTACTTCACTTCTCTGGTACCAAATTCTGTCTTAGTTACTTTTCTCATTGCTGAGACAAAATACCCAACACCCAAAGTTAAAGGTGAAAGGTTTGTTAGCTCACAGTTTGTAAAGTTTCAGTCCATAGTCAGCTGGCTCCAAGGCAAGATGGCTTGGCAGACAGGCATCACAGAGGAGAAACAGTTCATGGTGGGCAGAAGGTAGCAAAACAATGCAAGGGCCGACCACAGCTCTTTCTATCCCTTATTTCTTATCCACACTACTTAGGGTGAGTAACCTTCATGCCCTTAATCCTATTAGCCTTCCTTGATCCTAGCACTGCAGCATGAATCAATCTCAGTGTCACACACTCTAGATCCAGCCACCTCTGAAAGGGCCCCACCTTGTGAGGCTTTGGGAGACATCTAGACACAAGCCAGAACAACATGTTAACAAAACCTTTGTGGTATCGTGCCCAAAAGCACAAAGATTGGGCCACACTCCTGAGTTCACACTCCAGCTCGGCCCCTTCTAAGCTATGGCACCTTGAGAAAATCATTTAATTTTTCTGTATTTCACTTTCCTCATCTGTAAAACAAGCATATAATAGTGTGTACCTCTTAGGCTTGTGGTAAGGATTGATTTTTTTTTTTTTTATTTAAAGCATTTGGTGTAGCCCCAGCTCAGAGACATAGCCATCCGCACTAACCAGTGTGGCTATAAATATAATAATATAGTTGTTACTGCTATTGCCACTACCCGTGGGTGCTTAGAAACACTTCCCACGCCCCTCAGTATAATGGTGGTGGGCAGGACTTGAGGGTTGACTGTACAGTGTGTACATTGTAGCTGATGATGAGTGTATTAGTTTCCAATACTGCTGTAACAGTTAATCACAAACTCGATGGCTTCAAATAGCACATATTTATTATCTCATAGTTCTGGAGGTCAAAAGCCCGGAATGAGTTGGCTGGATCCTCTGCTTAGGGTTTCCTAGCCCTGAAACGTAGGTGTCTGAACACCAGCTATGTGCCCCTCTGTAGCTTAGAATCGCTGTCCAGCGCATTCTCCTTCCTGTAGGAAGGCAGGTCCTTACAGATGTGGCATGAGGTCACCGCCTCCTTGCTGGCTGTCAGTGGGAGAGATCCGCTCTCACACCTGAGAGGCTGCCACACTCGTTCCCACAGAGCCTTCCACCCAACCATGTCACACTGACTTCTTCTTGTGGCTTGCATTTGAAACCTGGGCCTCATGCAGGCTAGGCAAAGGCCCTACCGCTGAACTACAGCACCGGCCCCTTGAGAGAAGTTTGTGGTTTGGGTTTTTTGGGTTGGTTTGTTTGTTTGAGATGAGGACTGGCTAAGTTGTTTAGGCTGACCTTGAATTTGTAATCCTCCTGCCTCAGCTTCCTGGGTAGCTGGGACTACAAGTAATACTTCCATGCCTAGGATGGTCTCTGTTAAGATTACTACATGTGACTGGGTCAGAGCCCACCCAGATAATCTCCTACCTAAGGCCACTTGGGCCATATAACATAATACAGTCCTGTAGGTGATATTATTATACAGGATCTGAGGCCCAGGGCATGGAATCCTGGGGATCATTCCTAGGAATTCTGCCTGCTGTAGAGTGTGAGCATTAGTTTATAGCTGCCAGGTATCTCCTCTGCATGTGACCATGTTCACTTGGAGGTATTTGCCCTCAGAAGCGGCGCAGAATCCCACCCCCAGCCTTCGGTCAGCCTTCCTCCTGGTATGGTCCCCACCCTGACTCTGGCCGCACAGTAAGTGGCCCACACCTTGCGTGTACGTGTGTGGGGTCCTTCCCTACCTGTGTCTCTTGGTGACTCCTTCCAGGTGTCATGATGAAACATGAAACTTCAGCGATTTGCTCAGCTGTGCTCTGAAAGCAGGTGGCAGGACCTGCGATGATGGCGGCACTTATTCATTTGTAGCGTAGAGGGCGTTTACCCCGCGCCCTCCCTCCGTCCCCATGTGGTTGTTCTGGAAGGAGGGACAGCAGTATGGTAACTGAAGAACCCAGGTCCAGAGAACTCAGTGTCCTGCTCAGAGCTGAGCCCGGTCTGTAAGAAGTGAAAGCTTTACCCCCGCCAAGCTTCTCTGAGAGCAAGAGCACAAACTCTAGCCACAGTGCTCAGAGCATCTCCGGTGCGCACACCCATGCCGGGGTTCACACCAGGGTGAAGGGGAGACTGGAGGTTCTTCTCCAGCGGCGGAGGACTTTCATGCGGAACATAGCTCTCTCTGCCTGATAGACTGAGGTGGTGCTGGCCTCCTTCCCGTGTACTAGTGTGCAGCAGGACGATGTGGTACCGGCCACCACCCCTCCCTCCGCGGGACTCATCCCAGGACACCAGCAACCCAGTCGCCAAAGGCTGAGGGTTTTCCGTGCAGTTTCTGCCTTTTCTGTGTCAAGTCATCAGGCTTGCGAAGCTAGGAAACTGTGTCCCGTTGGTGCTGAGACACCAGGACACCTCCCTTCCTGCTCCTCAGTCTCCCCAGAACGCTGCTAACTCCTGTCCCTGTGAGGGAGGGAAGGGTCCCAGAGCTCTTGTTCATCCTGAACCTCTTTCTCCAGACTTTTCCCAGAGATTATACCTATTTTCTAGACTTTTCTCTCACTCCCCAGAAAGCTTGTGGAACCCAGCCCTGATACCTTCTGGAGCTTTCGTTTGTTCTCTATTGCAGCGGGCAAGCCCTGGGTGATAGCCCTGAGGTTCTTTGACAAGGGAGGAAGTGCTCCCGAGCACGGCTTCCGTCCTGTCCTCTCGTGAATCTGTCTTACCCTCATGCATCACCCACTCTGAGCTGCCCTATGCAATCTTTGGTCACAGGTGACGGGGCGGGGGGACCTCCCAGTCCTCCAGGGTGATCTCAGCCCATCCATGCGGTGCTGTCATATCCCCGACAGTGTGACTCCCATTTACCGCTTCAGACCCGTATCACTGGCCACTGCCCTTATCCGTGTCTTTAACTGTCCTATGCTAATATTTCATCCCATTCTGCCCAGCCTCATTGGACCGATCCATCCTGTATCTTCTTGCTGCATTAATCTTCGGAAAATGCTCCCTTGAGCATAATATAGCCTTAGAACACTCACTCCATTTCTCCTTGGCAGTGAAGTGACAGCTCCTCCCCTGCCTGCAGAGCCCAGCGCCCCCGCCCCAGAATCCCTGGCATCCCTCCAGCCTCGGCGCCGCTTGCCGCATGCCCAGCTCTAGGCTGAACCTCTTCAGTTCTCCCAGCAAGCCTGCAGCTTGTCCCTGTTTTCCAAGCGAGGAAACATGGAAACCAGGAGGTTAAGAACCTGTGTCCCCCTCTTCCTCACTGTGGTCCTGGAGTGACTCCTGCCTACTCCAGCTACGCGGCACCAAACACAGCAGCTCAGGTTGTTTTCTTGCTTATACGTGTGTGCTCTCTCCACCTGGAGCGCAGGGCCTGGACGTCTGTTGTTCCACTTCGTAAATCCGGGCTGGAGCACAGAGCTCCAGGGCCACAGAGCCGTTCTCCCCGGAAGGGTCACTTTCGGTGGAGAACACCACGGCTCACAGAGGTTTGTCCGAAGAACACCTCGCTAGTTGGTAACAGTAAGGAGTGAGCTGCAATGTGTTTCCCGCCGGGATCTGGTCCTGCAGACAGGTGGCCTCACTGTGGGGTGACCGGGCAACACATGTGGCAGTCCTGGTCCTCGATGTGCTGCCCACAGCGCAGGAGAGAGAGCTAAGGTGCCTCCCACCAGCAGGCCATCACATCTTAGTCTCCTGGACGCCTCCAGCTGAAGTTGCAAGACCGCAGGGGGCCCGCTGAGTTATTCAGGATACCTGGTGGCTTGAGCGCTGTAATCAGACACCACCCAAGTGTCTTGCCTGAAGGCTCGCTCCTAGCTGCCCACTCAGGCTGGCTCAGGACCCTCCACACAGATCTGTCTGTTCTTCCTTGAGCTCTAAACAGTTCTGGGTTCATTTTGCAGGGTCCAGGTATTGATTGCATCTCACTGCTCTGTAAGAAATGTAGCAATCAGACTAATCATCAGATTTTTTTAATGTGAGAAAGCAGTAGCACTGAGAGCCTTTTAAGAGCTTCCCAGTGGTCCCTCTGAAGGACAGAGAGGCCCTTGGCGCGCCTTGCTTATTGCCGGAACAGTGTGGCGTGGTGGGCAGAACACTGTGCTGAGGCACAGCTTCTTCCTGTTGCGGTGTGCTCGGCTCGGAACGTTCAGGCGTGTGGGTTCCTGGACGGGCTCCGGGGCTGGCGCTGACCCCACCCTTGTCTCTGCACTGCTCCCCCAGCCGCCCGGAAGAGCCTTCCACCTGGAGTGGCTACATGGGAAAAATGTTCATGGCCGCCACCAACTACCTCCCCGCCCAGGTGTCGGACATGATGAACCAGGACAGGGCTTTTGCCACCGGACGCTTGAACTTCTCTGGGCAGAAGAACATCTGCACGCTGTCCACGTATGTACCGCCTGCCCTAAGCAAGCGCACACTTAGACACCTTCACACAGCGCAAAGCCCCCAAACAAGTGAAGAGGAAAAAGCGAGGGGGAACAGTTCACAGGAAGGGTGACCTGAACCAGCTGGACCAATCTGCTGCTTTTCCTCTCTGATTTTTTTTTTTTTTTTTTTTTTTTTTTTGGTTGGTCTCCGGTACCGGGAACTGAACTCACGACCTTGCGCTTGCCAGGCAGGCGCTTTTGCCGCTGAGCTAAATCCCCAGCCCCTTCCTCTCTGATTTTAACACGGATTCTCAGGGGGCAGCTGGCAGCTGGCATGGGACTGTTAACCCCCTGGTTATAATAGCACTGTCTTGAAAACATGCCCCGTTTTGATGGAATCATGCAAGAAGCCTCAAGTTCTGCTGTCTACATTCAGATGCTAATGGGGTGGCAGATATCTTCTCTAAGTAGTTTAAGGAAGTTTACTAAAGAAGTAGATCATTTAAAATCCTTCAAGGGCTGGGGATGTAGCTCAGTCGCACAAAGACGTGCCTGGCAAGTGTAAGGTCCTGAGTTCAATTCCTGGTACCCAAAAAAAAAAAATCCATCAAAACCTAACCAGCCAAGACAGCAAGCGAGCGGTACCCTTCTCCCCTTATTGCCACCAGTAAGGCAGAATCACATGTAAGACGCAGACTGTCCCACTTAGTGGCTGTAGCTTCCACAGGATAAGTACCTACACACGTCATTTTGCCTCATCTTCACAGTTATATTCAAAGACCAGAAATAACCATGAAAATAGGTTGTTAGGTCAGAACACAAAGGGATGTCCAGAAGCCCAGACTCTGGATCAGTGGGCAAAGGGTTGTTCCTGGCAGGAGCATCAGCGATAGCCGAAGGGAGCAAGGTCTCTTCAGCTGAAGCCAGTCCAGTCACCTCTTCACTGTAGTAACACTGACAGTCTTCTAGTTTCCTCCCGCCTGAATCTCCAAACCATTCCAAACTACCCCCATGTGCTAAAGGCTTCTGAACTACACAGTCAGGTATAGTCACAGCAGTGACCCCACTACTTGCTACCAGTTTTCTGACCCACTTGTAGCCACTGTGGCCAGAATACCTGATACACACAGCTTGCGGGAGGAAGGGTTTGTTTTGGCTCATGGTTGGAGAGGGTTCAGTCCAGGGTCAGCTGGCTCCAAGGCAGAAACATCATGGTGGACAGAGGTAGTGAAGGAAAGCTGCTCATTCATGACAAGCAGGAAACAGAGAACAGGAAGAGCCAGAGAGAGGGGGAAGGGCCAGGGACCGCATGTATCTCTCCAGGTCCTCGCTCCACTTCCTCCACCCAGGCCTTTCTCCTGACAGAACATTCAGCTCCGAACTGCTTTAATCTAAAAACAGGCTCCTAGAAGCCCCATCTTTGTGCACTTGAGACCTTGGAGGACATTTTTGATCCAAACCATGACATCAGTCACTAAGTCAGAACACAAAGGGATGGAAAGCCTAGACTCTGGATTAGTGGCAGAGCAGGTGACAGCCGGGGTGACAAGGCTTTGACAGGCAGTTGAAATGGCTCCTTTACCCAACTTCATTGGAATCACGATTCGTGTTTCACCTGGCTCTTAGGATCCAGAAATTGCCAAGGCTGCTGGTCGCCTCCTCTGATGGACACCTTTACATCTACAATCTGGACCCTCAGGATGGAGGAGAGTGCGTCCTAATCAAGACTCACAGGTGAAGAGTCTAGCTTGCCAAGGACAGCCGTTCAGCCGTTGGCAGTGCAGAGCTGCTGCTTCAGCCGGACACTGACCAGTCTCAGTTCCCTTGCTGCCACTTCCTCACCAGCAGTTCGGGTGGCCCTAGCGGGCCCCTGCTTTGCTCAGGTGCGGTGCCGGGAGCCTCTGTGTGCTGCCCCCTTGTGGACAGTGCCAGGATACATTGCACCATGGAATATCTAGCCCAGCCCCAGGCACACAGTGGGTGTTCAAAAATGTTCGTGGAACTGAGTTGAAAGTTCCCTTGGACTTCTGTCACAGTGCAGGCTGGCCTTCTGTTCTGCTGTGAACAGGGCACCATGATCTGCCTCTGTACCTTTGCCCACGGCCCCTGTCCAGTTTAGCATGTATTGGCATCCTTGCCTGCCAGTACTACCAAGGGCAGAGAGCCAGCCCTTGGTCATTAAATACGAGAGAAGGAGGTCATTTTGAAGCTGCCTGACTGACCCCTGGTAACTTAAGGCCACTTCAGTTCCTCCTGGCCCAGCTGCCTGCGGGCAGGTCTCTAACTTACAGTCAGGTAGCCCAGTATGTGTCTCTGAGCTTTCCCTTCTGACAGTTTTCTAGATAGGTGATTTTTTTTTTTTCCCCTCTTAATTGCTACAAGTAGCTTGCTTGGCTCAGAAACCGCCGAAGAGAACAAAGAAAATGACCTCAGACCTCCCTTACCTCAGTCTTACGCAGCGACCGTAGCCAGACCAAGCCCATCTGCCGCCTCCACCATGCCAGGTGAGTGGCGTGGGGCCTGCCTGTCCCTCCCCGTTCCCTGGGGCTGGAGTGCTCTCCTCGAGCTGTTTCCTCACAGGCGAGGCCTGGTGACGGCTTCCAACTTGGGCCCTTAGCCCTGACAGATGTAGCACAAGAGGTTCCTTCTCAGCATTAACTTTGCCTCTTGGAGAATTCTAAGAGATAGAGATTTGAGGCCTCAGAGGTGGGCGAGAGGATGAAACGCCGTGTCTCCGAGACTCAGAGACCGGAACTGACAAGGTTTAGACGGGGTGACAGTCCGTCCAGCTAGAACGCAAAGATGGCTCCTCGGGTTCCTCGACCCTCCCGTCCTCTGAGGTCCTGCCCCTGGGTCATGGGCTAGGAACTGACCGCGTGGCTTCTTCCCCATCCCACTCTCGGTTTCCAGGTTACTCTGAGGACGGCGGGGCACTCCGAGGAGAAGTTATTCCGGAGCACGAGTTCGCAACGGGACCAGTGTGTCTTGATGATGAGAATGAGTTTCCCCCTGTGAGCATCAGGACCCCGTAAAACACCAGCTGTGTCTGTGCCCGGAAGGCGGCTTTACCGTGACAAGGGGCCAAGTCTCTTTCCGTTCTCTAGTTCCTAACAACTAATCCTCTCTCCATGATCCAGAGAGCCGTTAGAATGCCCCTGGGGTGTGCTTCAGATCCTCCCCACTAGCTGTGAGGGGTCACACTAAGCCCTGACACGGCAGGGTGGCTGAACACTAATCCAGGGGGTCCGGGGCACGTACTACACTCAGAGGCCGGGACTCCTGTCCTGAGCTTCTGCATCCTGACGTGGCTGCTCGTAGCCGGGAGACCTCTGCCTGTGTAAGGCTCTTAGGGTTCCTGCGGCTCCTACAGGTGCTTTTGCAGAATGCTGCCTTCCCTTTGCTGGAGGTGACACGTTCATGGGGCCGGGCTGCGTGTTTGAGACACTGAGCTGACGAGATCTGCGGAGCAGCCGACCTGCACCCTGCTTGTGGCTCTCACAGGGCCGACCCAGCGGCTCCCAGTACTCATTAAGAAACCCCCAGGGGAAGGCCGGAGCTGGCATGCGTGAGCTCCCTGGGCATCTTGTCCTTTTTTTTTCATTTGCGGTATTGGGGATTGAGCTACATCCCCAGTACTTCTTATTTTTCATTTTGAGACAGAGTCTTGCTAAGTTGCCCAGGCTGGGCTCAAACTTGTGCTCCTTCTGCCTCGGCCTCCCAGAGCGCTGGGACTACCGGCGTGTGCCGCCATGCGCCCTCCTCCCTTGTCCCTCTGTAGTGGAGCTTCCCAGCATCCTCCTGCAACTGCTCCGGCAGCAAGGGCTCCCGGGCCGAGCACTGTGCTGAATTGTTTGCAACCTCTGTATCTGGAGAAAGATTCCCTCCCGGGGGAGGAGGCAGGGCTTCCATAGCTGTGGCTTCTTCTAGTTTCCATTTAGGGAAACACAGAGACCCGTTTGTGAGCTTCAGTTAGCAAACACCCCAGCGAGTCAACTTGAAGCCGGTGCAGATGGAAGCAGGATGAGACCACGGCTTGGACAACCGACTCCTAGAGCCAGAGAAGGCAGCGCAGTGTCCACAAGGCCTTGCTCGGAATTTCTTTGGTGACCGCTGTCGTATGTCAGTGAGATCCACTTGTAAAAGACAGTGCAGGTTTGCTTCCCCTTTCCCATGGATCCATGGAACAGCCTAGGAAGCACATTTGGCTGAAGGAAGAACACAGCTCTTGGGGGCCCTTCGTACACTGCTGGGGGTGTCTGGGACTTCCTTGTTGGCTCTGGGGACTGCAGCTTGAGATTGGCAGTTCTGGCTTCTACTAGGCGGGTTTCCAGATATGTTGCCGGCAAGCGATGTTTGTATCCTAGTGGTAGGGAGGAGTGGCTCTTTCAAATACTAATTTTACATCTCAAAACATCCGTTGGCGTGCTGCCTAACGGTTGTTGCCTAAACCAGTTGTTTAGCCTTTGGGTTCTTGCGATGCCAACTGTCCCTAGAGGGAGTTTTTCTGTCTCCGTGAGAGTGGGTGATTACTTCATGGAAATTGCATCTTTCAGGCACCAGAGCATTCTAGGTCAGACACAGTGGGGACAAATGTGACCATCCCACTCCACCCAGGTTTACAGCACTCAGACGCTCACTGGATTCTGTTCTAGTAATTTTAGCAAAAGCCTGTGGCTGGTCTAAAATATTGCAAGGTTATGAATTAGATTCTTAATTGCAATCAGCAAAATTACAGCCTCTCAAATTTACAGAATTAGGGTAATTTGGACACTGGCAATTAGAATGTAGTCCCTTGCCAGAAAAAACCTGTATAAATCATAAGTACCCTCTGCATTTGTTCGGGGTAAAACCAGAATTGGAGATGCTTCATATTAGAACTAGTGCTCAAATTATCACCCGGCCTGAACCTGCATACAGCGCATGAAGCTGGCTAAGAGCCAGTTGGCTTAAATCTCATCAAGAATTTTTATTAATATAAAAGAGATGTTCCCTCTCAGAGAGAAAGTTGGTCATTGAATGAGGACACTAGAGCAGTTGACACCAGTGTCAGGCAGCCCCTAGATGCAGGGCAGGTCCTGGGTGTCACGGCAGTCCCAAGGCCCAGCTTGTCCTTGAGCCTCCGGGTAGACGGGTAGAAGACACCACCTCCTGAGGGCCTGGCCAGTAGCAGGCAGCTTCTCCACGTCACCGCGCTGGGACCAGAGACGTGCGTGCGCCTGCGGTGCTGCTCAGCGCCGCTGTGTCAGCTGTCCCATAGTGGCGGCAGCGTTCCGGCAGGGACATTAGAAACTCCCTCTCCTTGCCTGTATTCAAAATGACCATGTCTGCTGCAAGCATTTGTCCAGAATCCGCATCTTCACTCATATGCCTTAAAAGCTGCTGAGACTACAGAAGAATCTTAGTGTCTCAGCTTGGTTAAAAACACTCTTCTCGGTAGGAGCACAGGCTCGCGGGGCGCCCCCAGCCTCTGCCTTCAGAACACGGGTGGTCGCGGATGGCCTTTGTGAAATGTACTGACGCTGCCTGTGGGCCGTCCCTTCCTCCTTGGGTTTTAGTAGAGGCGCTAGAGAGCCGCCCATCTCTGGGGCCTGAGGGAGAGGCTGCCTCTGAAGGCCGCGCAGCTTCTGCCTCGGTGGCGTATACTGACCCTGTAATGGCGACCTAGTCTGTGTTTACAAGTAAGATGACCCTTTTTTTAAAAAATGCACATACACATATAAATATACACACGCGCATGCACATACAGAGTCAGTATTTTTGGAACCTGCCGTGCTTGTCTTTCACCTGCCTCAGGTGGGTGGCTTTCCTGAGGTGTGGGTGAGGGTCAGCCTGGGGGTGCACGGAAAAGCCCCCCAGGGTCCGCCGCCTGTGTTCACCTCGTAAGGGCATAGACCTTAGCGGACAGCGCTGCCCACAGCCTCTTCCTGGGGAGAGTAAGGCCATTCTGTTTTGATTCCGGTAGATAATCTTGTGCCGTGGAAGTCAGAAGGGCAAAGCGAAGCAGTGCTGACGAGAAGCGCACCTCAGAAATCAGGACAGCCCTTGTCGGGTGGTTTTGGAGAAAACAAGGAAGGTGGAAGAATGGAGTGCGATTGTGTGAACAGGAAGGGGGGCAGGAACCCCGGGTGCTGCGCTTCCTCAGCCACGGGACGCGGCTGACTCCTCACCGAGACCCCGGGCACCTGGGACCCTGCGTCTACCCCGTGCTGTCTCGGATCCCTTCAGACCACAGTGTAAATGCTAACTAACCATATTGGTATGTAGCCAAAACTTTATATTAAAAAGGGTATCCTTTTTAAATGTATGCTGTGTAAAAAAATGTACTTATAGGAAAACCTCTTTGAATTGTATTTCTTGTATATTACATTCATATAGAGAAATTATTTTAGTCGGGCAAAGTATTTTTGCAGTGATTGGAATACATCATTTATTACCTTTGAGTCCCATTTAGGACACTAATAAAATATGGCAATGCATTTTTTAGTTTCTTAAGCTTCATTTCATATCTTGGAGATTTTAGCGGGGCAGGAAGGGCTCCTAAAATCTTCACAGTACACTCATTTGAAGGGGGGCCGGGTGGTGCACGGCTGTGATGCTCTGGGAAGCTGAGGCAGAAAGCTGTCTCAAAATAAGAAATAGAGAGAGACCGGGAACATAGCTCCCAATCCCAGTACCACAGAACAAATAAAACCCCACTCATCTGACCTAAAAAGGGAAACAGGGAACTTTTCCATGGGTTCTGCTCTGAGGCCTGGAAAGAGACCTAACTTTGTGGCTGCTTCAGGCAGCCCATGGGAACCTCCTAGAAAGGTGGGCTCTTGGGCCCTTCCCGAGCTCACTGAGCCAGAATCTACACTTTCCACAGAGCCCAGGTGATTTGCACATAGAGTCAAGATGGAGAAGTTCTGCTCTACGTACTGGTTGGAATGACCAGTGAAACTAGGAATACAAAAAATATCACTAGGAAACTAAAATGTGTTCAAATCTGCGCAACGCATTTTCCTGTGTCACCTTACTTGACCTTCAAAGTCAACCTGCAAGTGAGATTAAATCATTGCCCAAGTTCAAAATCAGGGGCCCGAACCTGTGCCTGATGCCCACCTGTATGCGGTCCATTACACCGTGATCACTGGTCTCCAAAGTGGCTTGAAGAAGGGACAGTATAGAAAGTAATGAGCTCCAAACAAAATTCACCTGACTCCCAGACAGTCCTCCTCGTAGCAAGATTGGCCGTTATGCTGTTAGGCAGCGGCAGGCAATGTGGTTGGGATTGCAGCAGGGAGCTGCTGAAGGATCCTGACGGTAATCCGCTCCGGAGACGTTGTCATTGGCAACGTCCCACAGGACGTCTGCAAGAGCCTTTCTGACCCGGGGCAGCACGGCCTGGTACTCAGCACTGCTCCGCTGGAGGGGCACGCCTTCCGCGACATCCGTTTCCAGGTTGAAGATGAGCGGGGGATCGTGCTGCTGCTCTGGCCCGAGGCTCCCGTCACAGGCTTCGGCTCCACCTGGGGAGACGATGGCAATAAATACGACATCAGACCCGACCCTGGCCCCGTGCTGTAAAGAGAGCTGTGACTGACTACATATAATTTAAACATGCCAGGCCTTAAAAACTCAAGCAATTGCTCTCCCTGCCAAATAAATGACTTTGAGATCCATTCGCCCGAGTATCTTTCATCTCTGCCCTTTTGGAGTAAATCCAGTTGTTCTGAACACTGATTTCTTGAACACCGCTTGGTACATTAGGTGGAGACAGTGCGTGATTTTGCTTTTGTGGAAGACAAGCTGCTTATATAGATTAGAACCTGGCTATGAAGGTAGTCCCAAAAGAGGGGTGACAAAAATGTTTGGAGCCATGGCAGCACCCTGGCTATTAATGATTCCAACGACCCCTCTACTGCTTCTCAATGAAAAAGTTCAAAAGGAAGTAAAGCAAAGGCTTGACAATACAAGAGGCTGCCTCTGAGCTTCTCAGTGGCCAAACATTAATAAGACAGAAATGTTACCAGTTCCTCAGGAAAAGCAGAGTTTTCCAGCACAGATGTCTGAGAAATTATGCAATGGCCCCTCCTCCCGGGGACTCGGCATCACAGACAGCTCAACGATGGTCTTATGAAAAACAGCCACATGATTAAGATGGTCGAGCTGTGACTTCCTCTCACTGCAAGGTGAAAGGTTAATGCCAAAGCACAAGTCAGGAGCTGGGTGTGGTGGCGCACATCTGTAATCCCAGCACTTGGGAGGCTGAGGCAGGAGGATCGATGAGAGTTTGAGAACAGCCTGGGCTACAAAGTGAGCTCAAGGCCAGGGAGACCCTGTCTCAAAAAGACAAAGTGCGAGTCAGTAAAAGTAAATCTATTAGGAGCAAACCCTGCTACCTGAGCATGCAGCTTTCTAGCACAAGCTGCCAGAAATAAAATTTGAAATATTGAGAAGAATGTGTAGATTTCATAGCCACAGCTCCTCCCTTTGTGCATTTCCTTCTGTAACTGGGACTTAGGTTGTTCAGTAGAGATTAGGAGTTACCCTGTCTGCCAAGAGTTCAGAGTAGAATCTGATTATGTTCTTCATTACTAGTAAGGGGCAGAAGTGGTGACATGAGCTTTGACAACCAGTCAAGCCAAAGTTGGAATGGACTCCTCTTATTTAAAAAAAAAAAAAAAGTAATTCCACTTAAAGGAACAGTGGGAGCAGTTTACACAGAGCTACCCTCTTCTAGGTAACAATTACAAGTTCCAGGCAATGTATTAAAGCACAATCAAAGACGTTAGAAAATAAACAGGACAGGCACAAACTGGAAGAGGTTCAGCCCTTGAGAGAAGGAAGCCACACTGAGTTGGATTTTGTTATGGTTTATGTCTGTGTGTCCCCCCAGTGCTTCATGCGGACATGGGGCAGGCTATTAAAGTTGAATGATTGTGGGTGGGAGAGCTACACCCGCCCTGGGGTGGATAGTTTGCATATGTAAGGGAGAGGAAGAAGCTGCATGGGGCCATTCCTCCCCCATCCGCCCTGGTGTGTGGTTGTTGCTTAGCTGTGTTCTGCCACCTGAGCTGTTGCCACGTGCCACTCTGCCTTATAATCTGCCAAGTACGGATTGAAACCTCCACAAACTGTAAGCGAAATAAACCTTCCTTCCTTAATTTTGGGTATCAGATATTTTGTCCCAGCAACAAGAGAAAAGTAACCAAGACAGATCTCTTTCAAAATTTTCCTTTGGGCACACTCCCTTGTCCGTGCAGCCAGAGTACCCAGAACTCCAGATGAACGCTTCGGTCTCTCTGGCTTGAGGTGTCAAGAGTTCAAGGCTGCCACAAAAGATGAAAATAGATGGGAGAAGTCCGGGGGAACAGAAGACATAGAGGGGATGCCTAGAACCTAATAGAAACTCCTTCTAATCCTTAGCTGACCCCTGAACAGTGCGTGCCCATGGGCCAAGCTTCCTGCAGCAGGTAGGAGAAGCAAGTAGCTTAGCAGGCACTTCCGCTCCCTGGAGCAGGGAACGCAGACTTTAAGGTGTAAATTCATGAAATTAGGGAAGTCTACTGGACACCTCAGATTTTCTACTGAGATCAAAAAAAACATTTGGCTAGGAGTAGAGGTCAGGTCCCAAAAGTAAGGAGTTTGCCTGAAATTAAGGACAAAATCTAAAAGACCAAGCATATAAAAGTAAAACCACCCCCTGGAAGTTCAAGGGGACCAACTACTAGCCATCTGTAAGACCAAAAAACACTCTGGAGACAGAAATTAGAATCTCTACAATACATTACTGACAGCAGCCAGCTTCGGCTGTCTCCATTACTTTCTCATTGCTGGGACAGAATATCCACACCCACAAGTTAAGGGAGGAAAGGTTTATTGTGCCTCACAGTTTGTGGGGGTTTCATTCCATAATTGTTAGACTTGTCGGAGAAATGAGGTCACAGAGCAAACCGTACCCCACAAATCAGAGAGGCAGAAGGGCCGACAGAGAGAAGCACAGCTCCCCACTGCACAGCCCTCCCTAGGAACCAGTGTCCCATGGGAAAAACTGAGCTGCAGTTGGTGAATTACTGGAGCCTCAGCATGACACACCTTTGGGATTAAAAACCCCAGGGGCCCTGGGTCACAGGGAAGGCCCACACTTCTGTGTTTTACCTCTAGGAGCTCAACTAGGTTTTCACAGTAAATACTACAGAAAAATTGTGATTCCAGGAGGAGGAAGAGAAAAATAACATTTTTTTTTTTTCAGTACTGGGGATTGAACCAAGGGCCTTTGCATTGAGTTACATCCCTGACCCTTGTTAAAATTTTGAAACAGGCCTTGCTAAGTTGCTAAGTTGTCCTTGCTGGGCTAGAATTTGTCACTCTCCTGCCTCAGCCTCCCAGAGTGCTGGGATTACAGAGGTACACCACCATACTTGGCATCTCCTTCTTAACTGACAACAGCTATTCAAAAATTTTAGCAACAATGTTCTTGAATATGTATGCTTATATATACATATTTATGTGTAAGTGACATGAATAGCTACAATGCTCAGAAAGACGGAAGAAGGTATTAGGATTACTGTATTACAAGGTACTTGCAAATCTTTGAAGTGGTAGTATGCTTTTCAAAAGTAGACTCGGATTAGTGGTAAATGTATGTTGAAAACTTTTTAAACAAAAGAATAGCTGGTATAGTAAGAAAAGAAGGAAAATGGGTTCATAAAATGCGCAGGTAAAACCACAAAGGTAGAAAAACGGTGGGGCACAAAAGTAGAAAAAAAGAATAAAGGCAACAAGGACAAAATAGTAACAAATAGATATTTAGTACAACCATATCACAAATAACATTGATGGTCTAAATGCACAAATCAAAAAAAACGGAGATTAACAGAGTGGACCAAGATACAAAATCCAAGAAGTCTGCTCTAGATATGAAGACACATAGATTAATAGTAAATGACTGTTGAAAGAAAACCATCCTAATACCAATCAAAAGAAAGCAGGAATATTTATGTTAACTTCAGATAGAATAAACATCCAAGAAAGATGTCAGTGAAAAAGCACAGCATTATATAAGGATAAAGGGATTAATTCCAAAACAAATAGCTATCTTTAGTGTGTCTATAGTGATAGAGCATCAAAAATCGTGAGGCAAAAACTCATAGAACTACAAAGGAGAGATGAGCCTACTATTGTAGCTGGAGACGTCAATACCTTCCTATCAGAATGGACAGATCTGAGGGCTGGGGATGTAGCACGGTGGTAGAGCACTTGCCTAGCATATGTGGGAAGCTGACAGATGTAGCATGCAGAAAATCAGTAGTTGATTCAACCACACCAATAATCCACTGGATATAATGAAAATCTATAAATTACTCCAACAACTGAACATCACAAATTCTTCTCAAGCTCATCTATAACACCAACTGCTATAGTTTAGATCTTAAATGTCTTCCAGAGGTCCATGTGCTAAACAAAGGCTTAGTCTTTAGCTTATAGCATGACTAGGATGTAGCACCTAGTGGGAGGATCAGGGTCACTGAGGACACATCTCAAAGAGGACTGTGGGACACCAGTTCATATTTTCTCTCTTTCTGTTTTTTTTCTCTTTCTCTCTCTGTCTCCCTGGCCCATTAGGTGAGCAACCATATGCTCCAGCCAGCATGTGCTGCCTCACCATGGGCCCAAAACAATAGGGCCAATCAATCATGGACTGAAACCTCTGAAGCTCTGCACCAAAGACAGACTTTTCTCCTTTTAAGTTATCTCAGGTGTTTTGTTACAGTAATGGAAAGCTCACTAACACAAGATAGACCAAAATATTCTGGTCCGTGAAAACACACCACAACAATTTTAAAAGAATAGAAATCATTATCCTAATACTAAATCTATACAAAGACATCACAATGTCTAGTCTTCAGCACCAATGGAATTAAGCTAGAAATCAGGAAGTGGGAAATCCCAAAATACTTGGAGATTAAACAATATTAAACAATACGCCTCCAGAGCTGGGGATGTGGGTGAGTGACAGAGCACTTGCCTAGCATGTATGAGGTCATTGGTTCAATTCCAAGCTCTGAAAAAAAAAATATGCTTCCTAAATAACACAGCAGTTTAAAGGATATATCAGAAGAAAAATTTTAAAATCTCTGTAAATCAGTGAAAATGAAAAAACTTGCCAAAATGTTTGAGATATAATGAAAGCTGTGCTTGGAGGGAAATTTGCAGCATTACATGGATATATTAGAAAAGAGAAAAAAGCTACACACAAATGATTAAACTTTTACATTAGGAAGCTAGAAATAGCAGGGGAAATTAATTCCACAGGAAGCAAAAGAAAAGAAATAATAAAAATTGAACAAAAATCAATGAAACTGAAATAGAGAAAATCAATAAAATCAAAAGCTAGTTCTTTGAAAGGATTAATAAAATTGATAGCCTACTAACTAGGCTAAGAAAAGAAAAGGAAAAGGCCCAAATCACACCAGAGATGAAAGAAAAAGGACATCAGTACAGATCCCATGGAGACTGAGAGGAT